ACTTCATAAAGGGCAGTAAAATGATGTGATCACCTACGTAGAAAACTAGCTAGAACTCATTAAAAAGCTAAAACTAAAAAGTGAGTTTAGCAGTGTTGCAGAGTACTAGGTGGATATATGAAAATCAGCTGTATTTCTATATAGTAACAACAAGTGATAGAAAATAGAATATTTTTTAAAGATTTATTTATTTAAGAGAGAGAGAGCACAGGGAGGAGGAGCAGAGGGAGAGAGAAACTTAAGCAGACTGTGCTAAGCGCGGACCTGGACATGGGGCTTGATCTCAAGACCCTAAGATCACGACCTGAGCCAAAACCAAGAGTTGGGTGCTTAACTGACTATGCTACCCAGGTGCCCAGAAATAGGATAGTTTATATGCCATTTACAGTATCATCAAAAAACATTGAATACTTTCATTTCAGTGTTATTCATTTCATTTCATTTCATATTCAATGCTATTGAATAAATCTGACAAAAGATGTGCAAGAGTCGGACACTTAATACTACAAAGTGCTAATGAAACAAAGTGAAGACTTTAGTAAATGGAAAGAGCTCACAGCTCAGAAGACTTAATATTATTAAGATGTCATTTCTCCACAAATTGATCTATATATTTAACACAATCTCTGTCAACATCCCACTCTTTTCTGTAGAGATTGGCAAGCTGATTCTGAACTTCATAGGTAAATACAATGGACTTAGAATAGCCTCAACAGCTCTGATACAGAAAAAAATTTGGAAGGGTAACACTACCCGAAAGGCTAACACTACCTGATTTGAAGACTTATTACAGAGCCACAGTAATCATGACAATATGGTATTGGCATAAAGATAGACAAGTAGATCAATGTTCCAGAATAGAGAATGCAAAAATAAATGCACATGTATACAGAGAAGTGATTTTTTATAAAGTTTCAAGACAATTCAGTGAAGAAAGGATAGTCTTCTCAACAAAAGATTCTGAAACAACTGGATATCTATATTCAGAACAACTTTAGTCCATACCTCACATGACATAAAAAAGTTAACATAGAATAGATCATACACCTAAACATAAAACCATAAAACTTCTAAGGAAGATGGGAGAAAATTTTTGTGACTTTGGGTTAGGCAAAGAGTTCTCATAGATGACGCCAAAAACATGATCCAGACAGAAAATAAATTATATAAATTGACTTCATGAAAATTTAAAACATTTGCTCTTTGAAAGACACTGTTAGGAGACTGAAAAGAGAAGCTACAGTCTGGGAAAAAGTAATTGCTAAGCATGTATCTGATAAAGTATGTCATATTAGAGTTCTCCAAACTCTAATATCAGGATAGAGAGAGAGAGAGAGATAAGAAGAGATTTATTGTAAGAAATGGCTCAGATCAGCAAGTCCCATGATCTGCCTTCTGCAAGCCAGAGAACCAGGAAATCCAGTAGAGCAATTCAGTCTGAGTCAGAGGCCTGAGAATCAGGACCTCCAATGTCTGAGGCAGGAAAAGAATGGACGTCACAGCTCAAGAAGAAAGATAATTTGCCCTTCCTCTGCCTTTTTGTTCTTTTTGGGCCGTCAATGGAATGGGGGATGCACACCCTCCACACACACATTGGTAAGGGCAGATTTCTACTTAGTCTACTGATTCAAATGCTAATCTCTTCTGGAGACACCCTCATAGACACACCCAGAAATAATGTTTTACCAGCCCATCAACTTGACACACAAGATTAACCATCACATACATGTAATATATAAGGAATTCTCAAAACCCAAGACTAAGAAAACAAACAACTCAGTAATAAAATGGGCAAAATATTTGAGCAGACACTTTCCCAAAGAAGATACAGGGATGGCAAAAAAAAAAAAAAATACATAACTAAGATGCTGATCATTAGTCATTAGAGAAGTATAAATTAAATCCACAATGTGTACCCCTTAGAATGGCTGTAATCACGAAAACTGACCATACCAAAGGTTGGCAAAGATGTGGAGCAACTAGAACTCTCTTACCCCGCTGGTGAGAGTGTGAAATGGTACAACCACTTTGGAAAACAATTTAGCAGTTTCTTTAAAAACTCAAACTTGGACTCAACACATGACCTTGTAATCATGCTGGTAAAAAGAAAGCTTACATGCATACCAGGATTGATGTGTGACTGTTCATAGCAGCTTTATACCGTCCCCAAACTAGAATCAACCAAAATGTCCATCCACAGGTGAACAGATGGAGCGTGGTATATCCATAAAATAGAATAGTACTCAACAACACAAAAGAATGATCTATCCATATATGTGAAAACATGGATTGAATCACAAAACAATTATTCTGGCTGAAAGAAGCCAGACAAATAAAATCTTTAAATAGGGGCGGGCGGTGCACCTGGGTGGCTCAGTTGTTAAGCGTCTGCCTTGGGGACCCCAGGGTCCTGGGATCGAGCCCCACATTGGGCTCCCTGCTCAGCCAGGAGCCTGCTTCTCCTTCTTCCACTCCCCTGCTTGTGTTCCCTCTCTAGCTGTCTCTCTCTCTCTGTGTCAAATAAATAAATAAAATCTTTAAAAGAAAGAAAAGAAAGAAGCCAGACAAAAAAGAATATGTACTGTGTGATTCCATTTATTTTAAAACTCTAGAAAAAAACAAACTAATTTCTAGTGAGAGAAAGTGTATCAGTGGTCGCCTGGGGAGTGGGTTGGGAGGAAGAGATCACAAAGGGATTACAAGGAGACTTTGGAGGTGATGTAAAAGTGTAAGGAGGGAGAAAGAAAAAGAATGAAATGACTCCAAAGAAAGTTTACATAAATTGCTTTAGCCTGTATACCTCTGACTGTGAAACTTGAATCTTGACACTTCATTCTCAAGAATGTAAAAGGTAGGGGAAAGGGCTGCTTTTTTAGGGGCGGGGAGGGAGACTCTTTTTTTAAAGATTTTATTTATTTGAGAGAGAGAGAGAGAGCAGAGCAAGAGAGAGAGCATGAGCAGGGGCGGAGGGAGGGGCAGAGGGAGAGGTAGAAGCAGACTCCCCGCTGAGCAAGGAGCCCCATGCAGGGCTCGATCCCAGAATCCTGGGATCAGGACCTGAGCCAAAGGCAGAGCTTAACCAACTGAGCCACCCAGACACCCCGGGAGACTCTTAATATATTGGCTTCCCCCACACCTTATTTAGACATTTCTCAGATGCCTGGTATATCCCCCCTTTTTAATAATATTTGCCTGGATTTTGGTGGGGTCAACATGTTTTCTAAGCCCCCATAACCTTAGAACTACCAGGTGAATCAGGATAAACCTTATCTATGACTCTAAAGCATCTGTGAATTTCTCTAACGCCTTTTCCCCACCCTCCAGAAGAAAGTCTCTGCAAGATGGATATTTGGGAATCTCTCCTGCTGTGTCCTGAAAACGCTGGGGGGTTGGAGATGGCCCCACAGTCCTGACAACTCAAAACTAAACCTTTCTTCTTATGTCCTTAGTCTGCTAAGAAGTAGAAATACTAAGCCAAGTTCAGGCCCTTGGGTTTTGGAGGGAAATCGTCCTTCCAGGGTAGAGAAAAATATCAGTCCATTGCCAAGCAGTTTTAGACAAAAGCATTTTCCTCCTAATGATCCTCAAGAACTGGTGATTATGGAAGGAGAGATGAAGTCGTCAGGATACATTTGGGAACTAAACCCAGCAGCTGTAAAATGAGAGAGCAGGATGGGGTGCCCTCCCCAGTTCCACTCCGGCGTATACTTCTGTCACTCTCGCGATGGGGACTGGCCCAGACTTTGGTTCTGCCTCTACCATGAGTGTCCAGGGTAACACAGATTGACGTCATCCCACTTCATGAGTTCAATAAAGACAATAAACTCTGATAAAAAGCCACGTATTTCAAACTTCTGTGCTTAAAAAAACAATACAGCGCAGATACTGGCTTTGCACCCTGGGTCCCAGGAGGGTGCTGCTCACTCATGCCTGGTCATCAGACAGTTGCCTGAGGGCATGAGCATGGCAGCCTCTCTGCGCCTCCCAGAAGCACCAGCTCAGTGGAAGCAGGTGGCCACCTTCTGCCCTGCATCTTCTCACTGACCCCTCATATATAGGGGTCAAGCCAGCTCAATGGCTAGCACTGAGGACACGTCAGTAAACGTGTCCTCAGTGCTAGCCCTGTGCTTTTAATAGAGAATGGAGCAAGCCACATAGGGAAAGCAACACAGAGAATTCTCCCCGCACACCTCCCATTCGCCCCAAGCTGTGCATCTCTTAAAGATAGCAAAGTTTGCTGCCCTGCTTCCTTTTTTTTTTTTTTTTTTTTAAGATTTTGTTATTTATTTGACAGAGAGAGACACAGCGAGAGAGGGAACACAAGCAGGGGGAGAGGGAGAGGGAGAAGCAGGCTTCCCGCCGAGCAGGGAGCCCGACGCAGGGCTCGATCCCAGGACCCTGGGATCATGACCTGAGCCGAAGACAGATGCTTAATGACTGAGCCACCCAGGCGCCCCTGCCCTGCTCCTTTTAAATACTGATTTTCTTCCTTCTGTTCATCTGGGGATCCTCAGGCTTTGAGAAATAGAAAGTTGCAAACACAAAACTCTGCTCACTGTCCCTACAGCTCCCCCAACCGCCCACCCTCACTTCCCTAGAGCTCCGCTCAGGTGTCCCTTATCCATGAGGCCCTCCCTGACTAGCCCCGTAGCAGTTAGTAACCTCCCGGCATCCCCCTCCGCATCCCATTTGTAACACGTGTCCTCCCCTGGCATGTTAGATACTCACTTGTTTGTCTAACGCCCCGTTCCTCCCTCTAAAATTTAAGTACTGTGAGAAGCAGTGCCTGGGACTATGCCTGCTTAGTGAATCTTTGCTCCGTGAGTGAATGGTTATGAATAGGCAGCCAAGGGGACCATCAAGAGCAGTTTTGATTCCATGAGATCTTTGCCTTTTGTGCTGCCTATGGGGCCTAGCTTGGCTCTGGTGCGGTGATATTTCCTGGGAGGAGACACTCAGCAGAGCTTCTGATATGTCCACCCTTCCCTTTCCTGCACCAGGGGAATATAACACGCACAATGGGCCCTCCACGCCAGCGAAAGAGGGAGACGCGGACAGGCCGCACCGGGCCTCCGACGGGAAGCTCCGAGGCCGCTCCAAGCGGAGCAGTGACCCATCCCCAGCAGGGGACAGTGAGATCGAGGTAACTCCAGACTGCCTGCTTGACTGGGTGAATGTAATCTCCACCTGTGGCTGGAACGGGAGCGTGGGGAGCAGAGTTCTGTCCACGCACAGGGGGGAGAATGGCCCTCTGTGTCCACCAAGCTCTGTAATGGGGGAAAGAACACTTGATGGGGAGATAGGGAATTGTGCTGGCCGTAAGGAAGCACTGTTGACACACCAGGCTAGGAAAAGTGACCCTGGAGATAGGAAATAACATAAAACACAGGTTCTCAAATGTAGGCAACAGCAGAATCACCTGGAGGCCCATGAGAACCCAGACTTCTGGGCCCCACACCCAGAGTTTCCAATTCGGTAGATTCAGGGGCGGGGAGGGGGGAAGGAGGCTGATAATTTGCATGTCCAGCAAGTTCCCAGAACGTGCTGATGCTGCAGGGTTGAGGACCACACTTTGAGCGGCCCTGGTAAAGACACCAGTGGGCAGTGGACCTTCCCAGCTGGGTTAGAGGGTTCTTAACTCTGGCTACATAAGAGTATCACCTGGGATGCCTTTTAAAATGCAGGTGCCCAGGCCCCATCCCAGACTAATTAAGTACACATTGCAAGGGAGTTCTTAGACAGTAGCTCACAACCTGAGCTACACCTTAGAATCTCCTGGGGAGCATTGAGAACCATCATTCTTAAGCTGCACCCCAGACCAGTGAAATCCAATTCCCGGAGGAAGGGACAAAGGCATCAATATATTAAAGCTCCCCAGGTGATTTCCAGCGTACAACCCAGGCTGAGAAGGACGGGTCTGAGGGATGTGCCAATCTTTATTGTAATAAAGCAAGTAGAAGATTATTGGTCAAGCACTGACGTTTTCCCAAACAAACAAAAAAGAACCGCATGCATGAGAGAAGGGGGAAGGGTACTAGTGGGGACAGAGGCAAAACAGATGCCCCAAAAAACAGATGGAAGCAACCAATCAATATCTAGGGAGAAAAAAATGGGCATGTCCGTTAGTTCATACTTCTTCACCGAAGGCAGAAATATAGGAGGGCAGATCTGTTGGCCTGCGTGCACTATGGGTATATGGGCAGTATTGTCAAAGTCCGGGTCCATGCCAAGAGATCTGAATGCATCATCATCCCATCTCTGTTCATAATCCTGTACAATGTATGCAGCAACTACAAAGCTCAGCCCACAAACTCATCCTGTACAATGTATGCAGCAACTACAAAGCTCAGCCCACAAACTCAGATGTGCTAAGAAATACCATTTTCATCATTTCCTTAAAGTCAATGTAATTTTGACTCTAAGTCCCCATCCCATCAGGGTGGTTAAGAAGCTCCACCTCGTTATTGGGGCCCCTTGCCCCCAGAATGGTATGAGAATCTCAGCGCTCAAGTGGTCCCAGAAGACAGAATAAGAGCCCCTCGTGTCCAGGATTTGAGGTGGTGGCTCCTCCCTTCCTCATTGTCAGTACCCGCCGTGGTCAGTGAGAGTCCAGCCAGACTCTGGACTTATGGGTTTCCGTGCCATATGCTGGGTGTAGAAATGAAGATGGGAACCTTGGAGTAGGAGATAGAATCCTTTGGTTGCAAGCAACAGAAACCAGTTCTGGTTACTTAAGCAAAATGGAATTTACTGAGAGGGAGCAACATGGAGAGAAAGTCATAAAACCAAGGTTAGAAAGAACAGTAACAAACACAGGCCGTGCTGAGGAATCTCGGGAACCTTGAGGATGCTGCCTCTACTACAGAGTAAACCGTGTGAGAGTCTAGAGACACTTGACATAATGTCTGATTCCAAGCAGACAGCATCCCACTGGCCTGGCTCAGGCTTGCCCTTGATTGACAGTTCCACCAAGACAGCACACAAGGGGAAAAGAAAACCAGAGTGCTCTTATCGGGCAGGGACGGATGCTGAGTGCCCCCACAACAAATACCCACCCCCAGGGCTTTTGAGGTTTAGCCAGCGTTCACTAGTAGAGCGGTACTAGTTACCAGTATTCACCGGTAGGGTTGTTAGTGCTTGTTGATGGTCAGCGTCTGTTCCAGCTGTCCCAGAAGGTGTTGAATATTTTGAAGACCGTGCTTGTCTCCTACCCTTGGTCAGCCTCCTGAGGTAGACCAGCAGCCATCCCCACTGAGAGCTTGCCCCCCTGGGGACCTGCCACAGAGCCAGCATCCTCACTGCTCATGGGACGGCTCTCAGCCAAGGGATTTGTTCTCGTTTTTCCTCTAATTCTCGAAGCCCTCTCCTTCCAACACCGAGGAGACTTTACACTATCCCCTCAGCAGGATTAGGCCTTTGCAAAAGGCTAGAAGAAAATCTGTTTGCCTCAGGTTGTCTTTGCTTTTTCTGCCTCCCCTATTTCTGAGGATTTCCTGCAGCTTCAAGTGCAGATCTAAGGAAATCACCAAGAGCAGTGCATACATCAGTGTTTTTTTTTTCTTTCATTATTTAGTCACTTAACGTGGCTTCTGCTCTTGGTAGGGGTGGGGGTGGAGAGACATTTTCCGCTAAACTGAGAAGGCAGTGGGGGTGGCATGGAAGTCGGGGATTACGGGGCAATATCACTCTGGAAACCTCTGCTTCTCGATTCCAGAGGGAAGAACCGCTGGTTAAGAACAGTTGAAAAGGTGCGAGCTGTGTTTCACTTCTGTGCTTAATGTCGGCATGGCGGGTTTGCCCCAGCCGCCCCTCCCGAGTCTTTGGCAGTGTTGCTAATGACGGAAGCCCATGAGAGAGAAGTTATGTAGAGAAGTGGAAAGGAGAGAACTTCTGAGTGTAGATTAGTTAAAATCCCTCGACTGCACGTGCCAGAAACCAACTTGAGCTAGCTTAAGTGAAAAAGCAGAAGTTATTTAGGGATACCAAGATTCTTTCAGAACCCCAGGGCAGGGGACAGCAGAGTGTCAGCAAGATACTGGAACCAGGAGGCAGACGGGGCAAGGAAGTGCATTTTCACCTTCTCTCCCCATGTGGCAGAGCGCAGGTGCTAGAAGCCCCGGTGCTAGAATCCCCCGCGACCGACCGACCGACCGACCGACCACGGTTATCTTTTCAGCGCAGGCACGAACTGGTTCCTGGGCTCTACCCTCCTCTAGCCTCGCTCTGCCTCTGACTGGAACCAGGTCCTGGAAGAGCGTGGGGGGGTCTTTCCATCTTTCATCCTCTCTTCCCTGGAGACCGGCCCTCCCCGCCCTTCAGATCACGTGGCCGCCAACTGCCATTCAAAGATGAGGAATGTCTTTCTAGGCTCCAATTTCAAGTTTCCGAGGAAAGGCCTCTGACTCCTTTGGGATTAGGGGCCTTCCCTGGCCCAAACCACAGTGGGCTAAGGAGTAGGGTCACCTGCAGAATAGCCACCAGGAACCTACCCACAATGGATCTAGGGCGGGGGAGGGAGACAGACTTTCTTCTTCAGAGGGAATGTAGTAGGTCAATGAATGGAGTCAGCATTCAGTTTGAAGATATTCACTGATTTTTTTTGAATTTCCTTACCAAAATTTCCCAGTTTCACTGATCCAACTGAGTTAGTTCAGATAAACAAGGACTTAGCATATTGAAACCCGGAAGCCCTCCTTAAAAACAGTAGTTGTCAAACTTTTTTTTTTTTTACCGTGACCCATAAGAACTACACTTAACACCATAACCCAGCACATACATACACATAACTATAACTAGACCCCAAAACTCACAAAATAACGCTCAGATCTGCTGATTGCTTTGAAAACCCCTGCACTAACTGACCTTTTCCTCCTACAGACCACCCTTCCCTTTCCTGTTAAAAGCATGGCAAAGGCCCGTGTGTAAGTACAGCTGTTCACCTACAGAGAGTTTTCCAGGATGGCCCATTCGAGATGGCAGACTGAGTAGGTGCCTTTGGCTCCCACCCCCACCACCAGCTATACACATAGTCAGGCCCTTTGCTCTCACACACAGCGATCATCAGGAAAACCAACAATGTGAAAAATAAGGCCAGGATAAGGTAATAGGACAAGTGACAGGTAATTTAAAAAACAGGAATGTAGGAAAATTATGATTGGTTTTCTTATAAGGATCCAAAGGAGCTCTTGCATCCATAAAATAAGAAATGGAGGCTCTTGGGAAGGAATTACTCAGAGACAAAGTAAGAGTCACTGGAAATGTTTAAAATGACAGAAGTTTAATAGAAGGGTTGGGAGGAAATGTTTAAGAAAGCCCCCAGAACACAGATCAAAAAGACAAAATTATAGAAAATGTATATTTTTTAAGTATAAGCCTTATCTATCAAAAAATGTCTAATTTAACTGTCAGAAATTCCAGCAAGAGAAAACAGTGAAAAGGTAGGAGGAAATCATTTAAAGAAATAAGATTGAAAATGCTGGGTGCTAAAAACAGTATGATTGCCAAAAGACCACACCTAGGTGTATCCTTAGGGAACTTGAGGATTGCTAATATAAAGATCCTAAAGTGTCCAAGCGGGGGAAAAAAGCAAAACCTCCATAGGACTGAAGATCAATGAAACATCACACTTCTCTCCAGTCACACTGGACATGAAGCTAATGGAGGAATGCAGTCCAACATCTAGAGGACATTGTTTTCTAATTGGAATTCTGTGCCCAGAGGTACCATAGAGCAAAATCTAGATAGATCAGATATGTAGGAATTCTACTTTCTAAGCACCTTTCCAGAAGACGCAGCTTAAGGATGTACTCAAGCAGAACAAGGAAGAAAACCAAGAGAGAGGGGCACCTATGTGGCTCAGCTGGTTAAGCATCCAAGTCTTGGTTTCAGCTCAGGTCATGATCTCGGGAGCCTGGGATGGGGCCCCGAGTTGGGCTCTGCGCTCAGCGCAAAGTCTGCTTGTCCCTCTCCCTCCTCTGCTCCTCTCCGCTTGCACTCCAACCCCCCACCCCCCGCCGTGCCTGTGCTCACTTGCTCTCTCTTAAATAAATAAATAAAATCTTAAAAAAAGAAAAGAAAGAAAGAAAGAAAAGAAAACCAAGAGAGAGACTTGGGATCTAGGAAACAGTGGCTCTCTCCTGGAAATGCAATAAAAGGACATCTCAGGATACTAGCTCTGCAGTGAGCCTGAAGATGATCCAGTGCACACTGGAACATTCTGTCACCGAGGAGGAACATCTCTGACACAGAGGGTGTGGCCGAATTTGAGATTCTAATGAAGACACATCATTGGAAACAAGAAAAGAATTAAAGCAATTAATAAACTCCTGCAAAAACAGAAAGTTATTCCAGACAGGCATGGCTCCTATGTGAACAAACAGGGAGGTGGCATGATTTTAATTGAGAAGGACCACAGGGAAGACATGACCTTAATGAGAGGAACGGTCTCCTGAAAGTGGCTCTGGGATTAGGACACTGGACACACAGAGAAGGAAGCGAAATCCCAGCGGGTTCCTTGGCTCTGCAGTGACCAGTAATCACAAGATGTGAGTGTTCTTTACTGGTTACCAACTTTGAAAACCAAGATCTAGACAGAGCACAGAAGATTGAAGTACAACCCTGAAACCAAAAGCATGAAGCAGTCTATCCACGCTGGCAGTGGGAAAGGAATGGTAACACTGCTCAAATCGGAGTGAGGAAGAGGTGGGGGAGGTGGTGGGGACACCAACAGCCATAATTTTGCATAGGGGATTTACTGTCTTAGCCAGGGAGAGTGTCCAAAGTGGATGGTCTTGGAACTAGAGGGGCTCACATAAGTGAAAAATGTAAAGTCCCGGAGAAATGAGGGACATTACCATGAGCTAAACCCTCATCTTTTGCATTACTCAGTCAAGAGCTATTATTGTCTGAAGTTGGCAAACTGGTAAATAAAGAAGGCGTAAGTATGTTACTCAGAGTTACGGAGGTAGTCACCAGAATTGCTAAAAACAGGAGCATTGAGAAGTAGTTGGGCTTACGGTGAGCGGAGAATGCAAAAAAAGGTAGTACTTCATTTTTTCAAATGAATTATATGACTTTTATTGTTGTTTTTGGCCTGAACTCCTCCATTTTTGAGCTTTTATGTGGAAGGCAAGAACAGGCTTCTTGGTTCTGGCATTCTCTGGGTTGATAGGAGCCCAAAAGTGGTCATCAGAATACACTTTACACAGCTGAGGTTGGATGGGGACCCAGTGAGTCAGTGAGTCACATGTTTTGTAACTTAAAGATAATGTTTTTCAAGATTTCTTTCTCCTCCCAGGGAATTAATTTCTGCAGACATTAAGTCAGATGCAAGCAAGTCCATTTGTCTCCATTCTCTTCCTCTCTTTCATCACAGCGTGTGTTCGTGTGGGATTTGGATGAGACAATAATTATTTTTCACTCCTTACTCACCGGGACTTTTGCATCCAGATACGGGAAGGTAAGAATCCACTTTGTCTCTTCTCTCTCTCTGTCTTTTTTTTTTTTTTTTTTTTTTCAACATGACAGTCTGTCCAGCTGGTTTGTCCTGGGAATTGTGGGGGCAGTTTATGAGGCGGCTTCTCCAACAAAAGCTGCCCCTCTGGGTCATTCTGGGTTTGAGAGCTCCTATGGAATGTTCCCTCGACATGTGAAAATTTAATTAGCTTCCCCTTCTGTCGTCCCCCATGCCGTTCTTCCAACACAAGAAGCGTTTAGCATCCACTCGATAGGATATAAGCTCAGAGTCTTTAGCTGTCTCCCTCCTAAGAGGGCGAGGATACACTGCAGCCAGAAACAGTAATCTTAGCTAAAAAACGAGGTAAAGTATTTTTCTAGTTCCCTGTTGTTTATCTTAGTGTCTCCAGCAGATGAATTCCATTTTCCTTCCGTTTTTCTGAGATGAGGGGGAGGCATTTTGTCCTCTCCGGCGTGGACCTTAGCAACAGCTTTGCAAACGTATCATGGACAAATTATGTCAGGGAACCATCCGGTTAGAATTCTGGGCAAAGGCTATCGGCTGAGTGGTGGTGAATGGAAGAAACACTGAAACCACCCTCATAATGCAAAAGTGAACCCAGCTGCTAACACCCAAAGCCTGCCGATTCTCTGCGTTCGTCCTGTTGGCTTCCCAGCAAACCACATATGGAGGCCGTCCCTTTGGGGAGACAGGTGGGGGTGGAGGGGCAGAGCTTTGGAGAGCAGGCAAGCTCTCATCTCGTCCGAGGTGACCGACCTGTTGGCAGCTGCTTCCACGCATGGGTAGGAACCATGAGACTCACCAGCGCCTGGAAAATATTTCTGTTTCTGTTTAGAGACCAGAAATATGATTTGACATCACCTCATGGCTTTTCCAGCTGCTCGTGTTTTTATGGGGGTTATAACAAGCTGGATGTGTAATTAGCAAGATAGATTTATCATCTGCCATTATGTTGTAAAGAATACAAAAATGGTGTCGGTGGTGCAGAAATCTCTTGCCACGTAGGAATGCCGTTAATATGTCTAGCAGTGCCTACAGGAAATCCGGCGTGCGTTCTTGCCCTGAGCACAGCTTAGGTAAAAGATGGCAGAGTCCAGAGCTGCGGAAAACACCAGAGTGGACTTGGCAGCCATTGCAAAAAGTGGGGCCATCCCAAAGGGGCTGTAGTAGTGAGATACCCACTAGGTCTGGGTGTTTTGGGGTTTTTCTCACCACCCCAGTAAAGCCCCCACCCGCTAAAAAGCATGCCTCCCCGCTTCTTGCCCTTTGAGATAGCCCACTCTGAAGTCCTACAGCTGCATGCTACAGCTGGGCTCTCGTGGACTGTGTAGGGCTGTGTAATCTTGGGGATGGGATGGTCTTTGTGTCTCTATCACCACCATTGCTGAAACCAAACTGGGCATCCTCAAGACAGGGACAAAGCCCAGAGCACCTTTCTGAGCCCATGCTACCTGATCCTCTGTCCAACCCTACCACCTAATCCCAGCCACCTCCACCTCCAGCTGTCGATCTTGCCCTTTATAGCTGCCTACAGGGCGGGGGTGGTGGTGGGGGGGGGGAGTCATCCTACAACACAAGCCTAGTTGTGTCACTTCCCTGCTGGAAAATGGTCCCTGGCCTCCCCATGGATAAACCCTAATCCCAGGCTCCCAAGGCCCTTCATGAGCTCATTCCTGCCCCATCCTGCAGCCCCGTTTCCCGCTACTCATTGTAACTTGCTTTCTGTCCTCAAACCTGGCCACGTTCTCTTCCGTCTCCGCTAGGTCTCTCCCAGGAAGCACAGGGTGCAGAGTAGGAAAGTGAGGTGGGGGAAGGGAGGCAGCCAATGCACTTTGCATAAAGAGTTACTGCCGCAGTTGACTAGGGCTCAGTCCCTCTTGCGGCCCCTGGAAGACTCTGTAGAGCACGCCTCGGAGTGGACCCACCAACGAGTGAGGCTGCTGGGATATTTATCTGCATCTTCCCTTCCATCATAGGTTGAGGGCTTCTGCTAGAGTATTACCTCCCTGCACTTCTGGCCTGCCCCAAGAAAGCCATAGAGCACAGTGCTCACAATTGAAAGCCTCTGCGTGTACAGGAATGGCCACAGCTGAGGGCGCATGGGGAAGGGGCACCCTGGAAGCTTCTGCTGTAATCTGGAATGTTCTACCATGTTCTTTTACTAGATGAAATCTTCTAGTTCTCATTTTAAATGTAGCTTCCTTCAAGAGGACTTTGCTAACCACTCCCCTTTATGCAAATTGCAGCTCTCCCTATTACTGAGTTTTTCATCTATAATTATGCACTCACAGTCTGTCTCCCTTCTAGGTTATATGTACCATGAGGGCAGGGTCTGTGAACACTTCTTTACCTACCCAGCCAAGCAGTGCCTGGGCCAGAATTGCTCAATAAATATTTGTTGCATGAATAAGTCAGGACGATCCTCTAGAATGAAAGCTACATGATGACAGGCACATTTTTTGCCCTGTTTTGTTCATTGCTTTATCCCCAGTGCATAGAACAGAACCCCCCACTTAGAAGGCTTCAAATAAATATTTGTTGAAGGAAGGAAGGAAAATAGTATCAAAACAAAAATGCCTAGCTGGTGGCCAACGACCAAATTCAGCCTGCAGACATTTTTGTTTGGCCCCTAGAGTGTTTGAAAAAATGTGAATTTGTCGCCAACATTTAAAAATCAGGAGATTGCACAGACCAAAACAATCCAGATTTCCAACTCTTCTTGAAAAATTAGAAAATCTGGCAATCCTGCATTCTCATGTGGCAGCAATCAATAGGAGCTGAGTAGCAACTGGCCTTTTGGGGGGGGGCGTCTGCTCTGCAGCTGAACCACAGCCCCCACTTGGCCTGTTTAACCCACTTATGGGACCCTCCTGGCCTCACTGGCATCTGAGTTCCAACATCTGTCCTAGAATTTCGGAAACACAGAAGGTCAGAGTTGGAAGGACCTAGGAGACCAACATGCCCAAATAGTCGCCATGGTATAGAAGGAGAATCTGAGGCCCAGAGAGAGTAAGATCACCCAGGAGAGAGTAAGAATCGTATTTCAGGCTCACTTGCCTGCTTGTGAGCCCCCAGGATGCCCAGGGGAAACTGAGATGAGAAGCTCTTGGAGCATCCAAGTCCCCTGTGCCAGGTTCACTCCAATTCTAGAATTCACCACTCCCTCCTCCAGCTCTCTCCCCCTAGGTGAGGAATGAGGGGCTTTTTTTATTTGCTAAAGCCAGCCGCCCCAAGAGAGACCAAAATAACCATGGCTTAAACAAAACAGTTTGTCTCTTCGAAGTAACAGTCCAGGTGTGAGCAGCTCGAGCTGGTAGGGCTGCTACACACCAGCACCAGGCGCCAAGGCCTATATGTCCTCTGCCATTACAGAACACTGCCCTCATTGGCAAGGTAAAACCTGCTCGCCCCCATGTGTATATTCCAGTCAGTGGGGAGGGGGAACAGGAAGAGGAGAATTTACACCTCTTTATTTTACTTTATTTTTATTTTCCTTCCCTCTCTGTTAAAGGCCAGACTCAGAATCTGTGTATGTATATATATATGACATATCTATATCTCATTTCTGTTCACATCCCATTGGCCGAAACTTGACCACATGGCCACATGTAGCTGCAAGGGAGTCTGGGAGATGTAGTCTGGTCACGTGCACCATTGAAGTTCAGGAATTCTATTATTCTGGAGGGAGAAGGGAAGAATGGATATCGGAGGACAGCTAGCATTTCCTAGCACAAAGTACCATCTCATAAGAAGAACAATGAAAGAGGAAAATGTTGAGGAAAAAGATCCTAGAGGGCAATCATATTTGTAGGTCTAAAGCTCCAAAGAGAGATCTGGGCTACAGCGATAAACTTGGAAGTCAGAGAAGTATCGAGGACCTAGAGGAACAGGAGTATGAGCCCCATTTTGCAGACAGAGTAACTGAGGCACAGGGAGGTGATATAGTCAAGGTAGTCATAATAGAACTAAAACACATGGCTTTGACTTTTGGCCCACAGCTCTTTCTCTTTGTGCTTTTTCCAGAAGCTACAGCTATGTGGAACTCATTATTAATAGCCAGGATCAAGCAGGAGTCCATTTGAAGCATGGAGTGTTTAAGCTATAAAGGGTATTTATTGAATCACAATAATTGAAAAACTCAGAGGTACCTGGAATTCAGGTGGGGCTGGATCCAGGAGCACAAGCAGTGTTCTCAGGGCTTGGTCTTTCTGTATCCCTCGTCCGACTTTCTCCATATAGCAACTCCCTCTCAGCAGTCCCAACTGAAAAAGACATACCTCCGGAATTCCAGCACAGCTCCCAGGCTTGAATCTCATTGGCCCAACCTCTGTGGCTCTGGTCAGCCAGCCTAGATCAAGAGCCGATGCCCAGAGAGAGTGGAGGAGCAGGTCAGTTCCGCCCCAACCAAATGCATAGAATGGGGGAGAGATGTTTCCCAAAGGACACTGAAACGCTCTTTCCAGAAGAGGGTGAGGACCATGGAGGTCCAGAATGGGTTCTGACGGCCGAGACATCCTGTACATCCATGCCGAGGCCCAGTGGCTCTTTGCTTGTGGCCACTGCATTGAGCACTGTACAGGAAAGCAGAAGTCATACTAATTGTGGTCCCAGCCAAAGGGGTAACTTGCTGTTTACTTAAGGAAATAAGACCAACAGAGCTAAAATGATTAAGGACTGATTCAAAACAGAGTGTTTGAATTTTCAAACAGAAACTGGGCTCTCTTCCTGTTCCCAATCAGAGGCATGTGCTGCTCGAGGCTGTCATCTCTCCACTTCCTTTCCATCTCTTCCTACCCAGTGCTCAGCGCCAGAGCCTCCCTTTGGTAGCAGTACCTCCCTCATCTTGTGGATCCATTAGAAATTCCCCGGAGAGCTGGAGCGGCCCACAGTCACCGCCTCTTCCCTAACCTCTCCTCCTCCCGCCTCGCTCCTAGCAGTCCCTGAACTCTATTTTTTCCAGCCTGGATTAGACAAATGCAAGG